TGGTTTCAGTCTGCTTTTCAGTCCTGGTTCAGTCCTTGGTTCAGTCCTGGTTCAGTCCTGGTTCAGTCCTTGGTTCAGTCTTGTTCAGTTCTGATTTAGTCCTGGTTTAGTCCTGGTTCAGCTCTGGTTCAGTTCTGGTTCAGTTCTGGTTTAGTCCTGTTTCAGTCCTGGTTCAGCTCTGGTTCAGTCCTTGGTTCAGTCCTGGTTCAGCTCTGGTTCAGTCCTGGTTCAGTCCTGGTTCAGTCCTGGTTCAGTCCTGGTTCAGTCCGGTTCAGTTCTGGTTCAGTCCTGGTTCAGTGCTGGTTTAGTCTTGGTTCAGTCCTGAATCAGTCCTGGTTCAGTTCTGATTTAGTCCTGGTTCAGCTCTGGTTCAGTCCTGGTTTAGTCCTGGTTTAGTTCCGGTTTAGACCTAGTTTAGACCTGGTGAAGTCCTGGTTCAGTCCATATACAGCATATTTGCACATGTCTGAGTAAATCCTGCATTATTAGTTTGTCTAATTATGTCATGAAGAGGTAGTTTTCAAGTTAAAAGCTACTTTTATCTTGAGAGTTTGGCAATCCCAGCGCTGAAATGATCCAAACGATTCTAGTGAAAGTGTGTGGAGTTTAAAAACAGTGGAGTTTTCTGATGAAGAAAGGAACTCAGCTTTTAATACGCTTTAATTCTGCCGTATCTGCCCTCCAGCTCAGCTCTAAACTCTAGGCAGTTTTCAAACGTGATATCACATGAGCCCAGCTTATACAGTAGATTAGTCTGATGTGCCATTTAAAGCTGTTGAACTCATGTACCGGAGTATTCTCCTCATTAACCCAGAGACACCACACTCAATACATTATTTACTATAGCCACAGGCCGAACCATGTAACACAGACACAGACCAGGCCAACGCAGCAGCACAGGGGAAAAACACTGACAAGAAATTATCCCTAATGCAAAGTGAAGTTAGAGTTTTAGCTGCTCCAGAATTTATTCATTTATAATTATTTATTTTTTTTACTTAGGGAAAGAATGAGGTGGTCTATGGAGAAAAAAAGAGGCGTGGACCTATATGCAGTGAAATTTGATGCGATAATAAAGGACTTCAACGAGTTTGAGTTAACAATATACTGTTTATTACCTGTTTATCTCCATGGTTATGGTATTGCTTTGCCTAAAATGTTCCACAGTAAAGCATTAGACATGAGCGTGACCATGACAAACAGGTGACACTACTGCTCTGAGTGGGATGCAGAGGTTTTTCATTGGTTTTCTTTTTTGTTTGTTTGTTTCAGAAATAAAATAAAATAAAATAAAACAAAATAAATAAATAAATAAATAAAATAAAATAAAATACAAAAACACCAGTACTTGTAGAGCTAGACAGAAAAGTGTATTGCCTACTATAGTATTCTTAGTATTCTGAATATTCTAGGTACAGCAAAAGCAACTCCATGAAGACAGACGGTTAACCCTTCAAGACTTAAAATCTATTTTAGTACATTTTTTCTTGCCTGGATTTTTTTTTTCTTAATTTTGTTAATTTTGCTATTAAACTCCCCCTTTTAACCCGTAATGAAGTGTTATACTTTCAAAAAATAATAATAATAATAAATCAAGTCTGTAAGTAAACTAAAAATGTCCTCAAAACAACAACAGCAAGAAAAAAATAAAAATAAAATGCAATGGCCTCATGACTTTACTGATACCAGTCATGGAAACAGCTCAGCTCATGCAAAAAATGTGCAATTACACACATTAAGATGAGTAAATTGCCATTTATTTGAGAAATAACTGCACATAGAGTGGATTTTTCAATTGTTATGAACACAGACTCTCAGAGCAGTCGACCATTTGACTCACTACACTGTTTGGCAAAGTTTGGGCCAATCAAAATGGACGGAGCGCGTGGATTTGGCAGAAACCAAAGTTCCTATTGGACACTCGTTTTCTCTACATCATCATGCAGCATGTGACATAGGATAATGCTGGAAATATGCTCGAAAGGCCACAACTGTCAGCTTCATATGGGAAAATGTTTTTTTTTATGGTTTGGAAAGTTATGTATGGTTATTTAAAACATGATACCATCGGTCTGGAAGGGTTAAAGAAAAAGTTATATAGATACTTGTGTTCCTAAATTACAGACTGACTTTGTTCATTACACAGAAACCTGGAAAATATGTACGCGTTTTTCCCCTTCACATTCAATGTAGTGTTACTGAATACATCCTGCACTGACCGTAGCCTCTCTTTAAAAACTCCTGCCCCCTCATTCCTGTATATGACATTTCCGTACGCAGTGTGTGTCCGAGTAATGCAATTCCCTTTATTCCTTTAGCTAATGTGCTCGGAAAAAAAACGGCAAATTCAGACCCATTATCCGAGCAGAAGAAACACCCAGAAACGATTCAAGCTCTTACTTCTCTATACGATCTACGTCTCCAAAACAAAACTCTTTCATCAGGCTCCAAAAGGCTTGTACGTTTTGACACGAAATGAAGCCACATGTGTAACAGCGGCAGCGCGGACATGATAAAAGCTGTGTAATCGAGTTAGTCAAGTCCCTGTTTGCATGGATGATCAAGCTGCGCCACTGAGCCACTGCAGCAGAATGAAGAGCCCAGGCCAAAATGGGGAATTAAAACTCGGCTAAATGAAAGAACGCCAGGCCCGAGAAGTACAGAGGGACACGATGATGAATACCACTGCATTTTCTCTACGGTGCATAAGTTAGGTCAGTGCTTTTCATTCATACACATCACAACTTAGTGGGATAGAGTGAGGAAGAGACTTTTGGGCCAATCTATGCGAAGACGGATAATGAAGAGCTGCAATTGGAATAAATAATACATAAATATGACACCACGTTGGCCATTTCTTATTAAAATTTCATGGGGATAAGCTAAGGATTAATACATGAACTCGACTAATGACCAAGTACCACCAAAGAAAAAAGTCTAAACTGGGTCTATAAAATTGCTAAAGTAGTTCTAAACAAGATTTTACCCAGAGGACTGACAAATGTATACAAAAACGACTCATAACTAACCAAATATCGGAGCTGCAGAGGGCATTGTGCACCATCAGAAAGATTTCGCATATCACCAATTTAATGTCAGTTTAAAGTTGACACAAGTTGTTACCAGGTACAGCGCACAATACATGAGAGACGCTGAAATAATTGAAAGACTGTTCTCCCAATTCAGCTGTTTTCTTTTGTCAAAACACAAACATAACTTTGTTTAAAGGGACAGTCCGGAATTTTGGACATAGGATCCTAGTGAGCCAGAGTGTTGGTAAAAACAGTCTTACCCACTCCACAAATCACCCGAAGCAAATCTATTATAACACCAGACTGTCGATGTAAATGTCTGTGTTGATAGAATGATTTTTGAAAGAAAAACTAACCTTGTGTCGCTTGAATCGTCGCATGTTGAGAGACTATTTTCTCAGCAGCAGCGGAATTTTACTTTGCCAGTAAGATAGGTGAGAGGTGATATCAGTCTGCCGCTGCTGAGCTTTCTGTCAGGGAGTACAACTCAGACATAAATTCTTCAAATGTAAGGTTGGTTAGGTTGGTTTTACTTCTAAAATTATTCTATCGACACAGACATTCACATCGACAGTCTGGCGTCTTTGACTGGAATAAACCTTTCATGTAAAAACAGCAAAGGGTGTGCAATTACGCAGACAAAGATGCGCAATTTATTTGAGAAATAACTGCACTTAGAGCGGCTTTTTCAATTGTTATGAACACAGGCGGTCAAAGCAGTCAACCATTTTGACTCACTACACTCTTTGGCAAAGTTTAAGCCAATCAAAATAGATGTAGCACAGGCGTTTGGCAGAAAACAAAGTTCCTATTGGACACTTGTTTTTCCTACATCATTATGCAGCTTGTGTGTGACGTAGAATAATGTGTGGAAAGCCACAACTGTCAGCTTTTCGAGGAAGGAAAAAGTAAGTTTCTATCTTTTATTGTTGGAAATTTATGCATGGCCATATAAAACGTGTCCACCGGCAGGGAAGGGATGTGCAATTATGCAGACAAAGATGCGTAATTTATTTGAGAAATAATTGCACTTAGAGTGGCTTTTTCAATTGTTATGAACACAGAAGCACAGAACAGTCGACTATTTTGACTCTCTACACTCTTTGGCAAAGTTTAAGCCAATCAAAATAGATGTAGCGCAGGCATTTCGCGGAAAACAAAGTTCCTATTGGACACTCGTTTTTCCAACATCATCATGCAGCGTGTGTGTGATGTAGAATAATGCGTGGAAAGCCACAACTGTCAGCTTTTCGAGGAAGGAAAAAGTAAGTTTCTATCTTTTAGGGTTAGAAAGTTTTCAATTGTTATGAACACAGATGCTCAGGAGTCGACCATTTTGACTCACTACACTGTTTGGCAAAGTTTAAGCCAATGAAAATGGATGGAGTGCATGTGTTTGGCAGAAAACAAAGTTAGTATTGGACACTTTTTTTCCCAATGTCATCACGCAGCGTGTGTGTGATGTAGAATCATGCTGGAATATGCTCAGAAGGCCGCAACTGTCAGCTTTACAAAGGAAAAAAAAGTACATTTCTAACTTTTATTGTTGGAAATGTATCCACGGTTATATAAAACATGTCCACCGGTGGTCTGGAAGAGTTAAAGAAATAGTTATAGAGATACAAGTGTTCCTAAATTGCAGACTGACTTTCACATCACAGTCTGATGTAATAACAGATTTAGTTCGGGTGTTTTGTGGAGTGGGTAAGACTGTTTTTAGTGGCAGGATAAATATGACCATTGACATGCACTAGTCTAGCACCAGTGACCTCTGAAAATACAAGGACTGGATGGAATATTAAAAAGAAAAAAGTCTCCAACACTCTGGCTCACTAGGAAATAAGATCTGGACTGTCCCTTTAAGAGCGAATTGAAATGAGGTTTTAAGTTTAATGAGTAGAATCAAAGACAAAAAGGCGAGATTGGTCTATAGATTTCTACCCTTTTAGGTAAATAAATGGGATCTACCTGGTACTGGTTGGCCTTGGCGAGCTCCTGATTGGCTGACTCCACGTTGGATGATGTGGTCTGGATGTAGTCCTCTATGCTGTCTGTAAATGGAAGAAGAAAACAGAGGAAAATGCATCGGTGAAAACAAGCATTAGAGCTGTCCGTGGTGCTGAAAAATGACTCTTTTTAATGAGGCTTTACCCGGGTTTTTCATGTAATTAAGTACAATCTGTTTTGCCCCAGTACAGATATATTGTAAAAGCAGCTCTTAAAGACAGATGCCATGTCGTCTGCATCTAATTATAGAGCGTTTAATTCTCTGCAAAACAGCTTATGTCTGTGAGCTTTACCGTGAGGGTAAACTCCGCTCTGGTCTCTCAAAGTTGTGCACAGTGCTTGGAAACTCATCACGGTGAATAATTAGGACGCACTGGACCATTGCAAACTGCTGAAAACAATGAACCAGCTCTCTTTAAACATTTTGCAAGTCAGTAAGATCTTTAATCAATGCACGCGTCACAAATTTCAAACTTGTGCAATGCATACTGGAAAGGGTTTTCCGAAAAAGTGAGCATCAAACCGCCATGTTTGATTTCCCAGTGGGGGATGTGTCTATTGACAAAGCCGATCTTTTCAAGTCTTTTGAACCATATCACTTTTGTTTCTGGCTCTGATATTGTCATATTTTAGTTATGGGATTCGGACGTCATAATTGTGCGGTTGTTGGACGTCCTAACAGCAGAAAACGGCTCGAGAAATGTGCTTCGGGAGTTTGTGAACTCCATAAATGCAAAACGGAATCAGATGTGTGTGACTGCAAACCTCCACTCAAACCGTTTCCCTTCCCAACGGAATTGAAAAATAGTGAAAGGTGAAAGCGATGGGCAGGATTGATCCACAGGAAGGACAAGAACTCATCCTGAGTTTGCAGTGAACATTTTGTATGTGGAGCGCCATCAAAGCGGGATCTCATTTGTTAAGCGAGAGGTGCAGAAGACAAACAGGCTGAGCTCGCACTTTCTTGTTCTTGTGGTTTTACAGCAACATCATGTCTTGGTCGCTTTGCAGCAGAAGTTGTGAACAGCTGGTGCCTTTCGCTTTGGCATCGACTTTTTAAATTCGTAACCAAGGTTGAGTGAGGGATCAGGATTTTGCTTTGTTGGCGCGCCACATACAAAATGTTCGCTGCAAACTCAGGATGATTTCTTAGGCAGCCAAAGGTTACTTTTTTTGGTCCTTCCTGTGGATCAGTCCTGCCCATCGCCTTCACCTTTCACTATTTTTCAATTCCGTTGAGAAGGGAAACAGTTTGAACAGAGGTTTGCAGTCACACAGATCTGATTCCCTTTTGCATTTATGGAGTTCGCAAACTTCTGAAGCCTGTTTCTTCCTGTTAGGATCCAACAACCACACAATTACAATGTCCGAATACCAGAACTAAAATATGACAATATCAGAACCAGAAACAAAAGTGATATGGTTCAAAAGACTTGAAAAGATCAGCTTTGTCAATAGACGCATCCCACTGGGAAAACAAACATGGCGAAAATGCTTCCCAGTATGCATTGCGCGATGACCGGAAGTCCGAAACCCGTGATGCATGTATTCCAATGACATTTCAAAGCATTTACATTCAGAGATGTTTTTGTAGTTTGCGACTGGGGAACCACAGTTTACATTTTAACAGCAAAGCCTTGGACAGACATTTGCACAAAGTCTAAATATTCAGTTAAACCAAAGTGTGAGAAAAGCCTATTCAGCTGATGTGAAAAGGTGAAAACAGACACGACTGGAGTTTTACAAAGTGGATTTTTGAGAATAACTTTGCAGACAGTCACTTAAAAGGAGAGTGGATGTTATAATACAAATTGGTAATAGCTACCATTAGTCATGCTATTTTATTCAGGACAGGGATGACTTAATGCTAAATAGAAAGTACAGTTTAATAAAAATGTGACAAAAATATTAAAAGACTTTGGCGGCCTGTTTTACTTCATGATGAAGTCTTTTTTCAACATGCAGGTTCCCACATACTGCTGTTGGGCGTTGTATATGTGTGTGCAAATCATCAATCATGTTTATAAATGAACTTTGAATTTGTTAGAGACGCTATTGATACTTTGCAGTGACATCATCTGGGGGTGTTCTACATGTATGTGTAGTGGCAGAATGTCCAGCAGATACAATGGAAACACAATGCACACGCTAGCAAATTCTACATCAGAAATATGTTTAAGATTGTTTGATTCAAACTCAAGAAAAAACGCATTTGTCAAAAAATCTAAATTACCTTTTTTTTCCCCCTCTGTACTAAATAATTCCATATATCTTGCTTCATTTGATTATTTGATATCTTTCATATGTTTCAAAACTGCAGAAGTAGATGGACAAAAAAAAAAAAAAAAAAAAAAAAAAAAAAAAAAAAAAAAGCATGTGTCTAAATTTTTGACTTGTAGTGTATGTTTTTTTTTTTTTTGTTTGTTTTTTTTTTTTTTGGCCAGGTATGTTTCACAGTATGGTATTCCATTTTCAGAATAAAACCAAAAATAAGAAAATGAAAAAAAAAAAAAAAAAAAAAAAAAAAACAAAAAAAAAAAAACACCTTCATTATTTGTCTCCTTTTTTTTTCTCTTTTTTTTTGACAAACGAATGAACAAATGATACACAGGTTCATTTATGTATCTAGCATTCATTTAACTAAACTTTTTTTTTTTTTTACTGATAAATAAATAAATACATCCTTACTCTGAGCAGACTAACCTCTCCACAGATCTGTAACTTAGATGTAGAAGTTTAATGCAACACTGTGGGACATTCTCGTAAAAGTAATGACATTCCCATGAAAAGAAGCTGAATTCTGAATCAAACAAAACATACATTTAATAATAACGGTTAAAAACATGTCTTTAGTGTAAGATAGAACTTCTGAATAGATTGTACATCTGTTATAATGGGTCAGTACATTCTAAATATATATATTCTTAGTTAGAACTGTGTTTTTATCTTAACTAATTAACCACATTTTTACTGAACTTTTCTTTTTTTTTCTTTTAATTTGCGTGCGTGTGAACCTCCAACCAATTGACGCGTCTCCTAATCTCTACACGCTCCCAGTTTGCAGGATCGTAATGAGTCTAATGGAAAAGTGTCTGCTGTTACTGACTATTGTAACCTGCACAGCCTCGACGCAGGACTAACAGAGCCCCATTAAAAACAGGCCGCTCCTTTATGCCATGTCAATAGCAGTGGGTTAATGGAACGAGACTGAATGAGCTTAACGATGTGTTTGCGCTGACATATTCGGAGCAGAGGAGTAATCGGCCGCATATATTTTGGAAAACAGATAAAGTAGATGTTGTATTGATTGTTTGGGAACGCTGAGATGTGGTTGGTTGAGATAGGCCCTGGTAATTACAAGCCGGTGTAGAATCAACTTTTAAACTCCGCGCAGAGGAGTAAAGTGGATTACTACAGGGCTCATTGACTTAAATTGTGAGGTCAGTTGTGGTTGTAGAACGCTTAGTGCTTGTATTAGCGGTAATAATAACAACACTTTGGTCTAACAGCCTTTTTTTTTTTTTTGTTTGTTTATTTTGGATACTCAAAGTGATTTCTCACAGTGGAGGCTCAATTTCATTTCTCTCCAGCAACTAGATCAGGAATCAAATGCAGTAGACGGTTCGCAAAAACCCAGGAAGGGCAAGTTCGGGCACCAGCCAATCAGCGAAGAGCGATACATTCAGTGCTGTCAACGATTCCAGAGATCGAGGATTTAAAGTCGGAATAAAGAGAATGTTTGGTGAATTTTATCAAGGGGAAAGATGTTATTGTCATTCTTCCTACAGGATTTGGGAAAAGCTTAAAATACCACGATTAAATAGCAGCGACTGGTTAAATGATTCCATCGAGCGAACGAAATCTAAGGCTGCGAGGTCAGACGATTTGTACAAAGTGAAACCGGCTGATGAATTAGACTAAGTGTTTCCAAGTGTCTTCCGTAAAGCATGAATAGAGCCTTTAATATCCTTTCTGATTACATGGAGACAGCACTTAATTTGACCCCAAAAGCTGTAAAACGTACCCGTCTACCGTCAAGCGAACAGAGTCTAATGCTGCGAGGTCAGACGGTTTGTACAAAGTAAAACACCACTCACTGTAAGAATGCATGGTTTCAAGGGATTGAATTAAATGCTACTAGTTTCTTTTCTGACCTGTTATAATGTTTCCTCATCACAAACATAACCTTTCTTACAAAATTTCTGTTGCTTACTACTTGTGATAATGTTGACTTAAAGGTTGTATAGAGGATTTTCCAAGGAACGAGAAATCCAGCGACTGTTTGTCCTTTTTCAAATGTTGCGCATGCGTGAAACCCCCCCCCTCCCCTACAGCTCCTACGTAGAAACGCCTCCTCCCGCCTCCTCTTTACGCCAGAAACAGGTTTGTTTACAGCCGGTGCTGCACATGACTTGTAAACAACTAACTACAGTGTTGGTTAGGCAAGACGGAGAAGTGAGGAGCGGGGGGAGCGGGTGCGCGGACATTTCGTTCGCGGACGAGAAGTGAGGAGCAGGAGAGAGAGGGAGAGGAGAGAGAGAGAGGAGAGGGAGAGCGGTGCGCGGAGATTTCGTGCCCGGAGAAGTGAGGAGCAGGGGGAAGAGCGGAACGGGCAGCGGGGACAGGAGCAGGAAAGGGGAGCAGAGAAGGTTGCGCGGAGATTCCGTGCGAATGAACTAGCTACAACACGCAGCAGCAAGCGGACTCTTTCTTTGCCTTGAAAATTACGTTTTCAGACATAGGATATCGCTTTCGTGTCCTGAAAAACATTTGTCTAGCTCTTGGAAATAAAGTACGTTTTCATAATAAGCAGAAGTTTCCTGTCCAGGAGTAATTTGGCGACCAGTGCGTCAGTCTTTAGACCCTGCGTCTGCTTCAGTCGCGCGCCATCGCTGGAATGAATCTATAAGAATCACCTTAGTTTGGCTTCGCTGCTTTTCCCCTTGTCTTCTTCTTTCATCGACCTCAAAAACGGACTTTCTTTTGCGGCGAAACTGCTCCTGGATTCTTGCCGCCATTGCAACAAACTTTGTGCTAACTGCGA